AACTTCAAGCTCTTCGTAAAGAGTTTGAGATTCTCCACATGAAGGAAGGAGAGTCAGTTAATAATTACTTTGCAAGGACATTGGTGATCGCAAATAAGATGCGTATTCATGGCGAAAAAATGGAAGATGTTGCAGTCATTGAGAAAATTCTTCGCTCAATGACACGCAAATTTGACTATGTGGTGTGTTCCATTGAAGAATCGAATGACATTGACAGCCTTTCAATTGATGTGTTACAAAGTTCATTGTTGGTTCATGAGCAAAGGATGACTAGTCATGCTGTGGAGGAGCAAGCCTTGAAGATCACCACTCATGAAGGAACATTTCCAGGCAGAGGTAGAGGACGCGGGGGATTTCGAGGAAGAGGCAGAGGCAGAGGACACCAGCTTTCCTACAATCAAGGAGCACAATTTGACAAGGCAAGTGTGGAATGCTTTCACTGTCACAAGTTTGGGCACTATCAATATGAATGCCCTGACAAAGAGAAGGAAACTAAGGTGAATCTTGCTGAGACCGAAGAAGAAATTCTCTTGATGGCTTACATCGACAAAAAGAAGAACCCATCAGGTGATACTTGGTATTTAGACTCCGGCTGCAGTAATCATATGTGTGGTAATAAACTCTTGTTCTCTGATCTAGATGAAAATTTTAGAGAAAATGTGAAGCTTGGAAATAATTCTAGCATCTGTGTTATGGGTAAAGGGAATATTAAAATTCGGTTGAATGGTAGCATGCAAACAATCACTGGCGTATTTTATGTCCCAGAACTAAAAAGTAATCTGATTAGTCTTGGTCAGCTACAAGAAAAGGGTTTCGCAATCCTTATTCAGAAGGACAACTGTCAGATTCATCATCCGGAGAAGGGGCTTTTTGCACAAGCCCAAATGACAACAAATCGGATGTTCCCTCTATACACACAGATTCCACATGATGATCAAACTTACTTCACTTCAACCACACAAGAGGCAACATGGCTGTGGCACTATCGTTATGGGCACCTAAACTTTAATGGATTGAAGACCTTGGAGCAAAAGAAGATGGTAAGCGGACTGCCTCAAATTCAGACTCCTTCAAAGGTATGCGAGGATTGCATTATTGGAAAGCAGCATCGTGACTCATTTCCAAAAAAGAGTACATGGAGAGCTACAGAAGTACTACAATTGGTTCATTCAGATATATGTGGACCAATTAACCCAACGTCAAACAGCAACAAAAGGTACTTCATTACATTTACTGATGACTTTAGTCGTAAGACATGGATTTATTTTTTGGGGGAAAAATCTGAGGCCATTGTTGCATTTAAAAGATTTCGTGCACATGTTGAAAAAGAAACTGGAAATTGCATAAAGATTATTCGTACTGATCGTGGCGGTGAATTCACATCACATGAATTTACTAACTTATGTGAAATGAATGGAATTCATAGACAGCTTACAGCAGCCTATTCACCACAGCAAAACGGGGTGGCAGAGAGGAGAAATCGTAGTATTATGAATATGGTACGAAGCATGTTGACAAAGAAAGACATCCCAAAAAAGTTCTGGCCAGAAGCTGTCAACTAGAGTGTTCATATTTTGAATAGAAGCCCCACACTTGCAGTTAAAAACATGACACCTGAAGAAGCATGGACCGGACGCAAACCAGCTGTTGATCACTTCAGAATATTTGGATGTCTAGCCTATGCACATGTACCGGATCAGAAAAGAGGCAAACTTGATGACAAAAGTGTGAAATGTGTCCTACTTGGTGTTAGTGAAGTAT